TTTCACTGAGAAATGCCATGTTACTGTTAATGAGTGAGAGAGATGAAGCAAAGGTGAAAACTACTCAAAGTTTGAGATGTCAACAAGATGGAGGGGATGTGATATTTTAGTGTGGGATGAAGTGATAGACCCATGGCAAATTTGAGATATTGTTAAAATGACAGCACAAACATACATTTTTCTTTATTTTAAAGTAGGTACCTCTACAGAAACACAATACCTAAGGTTTTAAATGAATTTTAAAAAAATAATCTTTCTTGAAGCTTTTATTTTAATTTCATGATAATAGATTAAATTCAATATTTCTAATAAGCAAAATATTTTGTTGCATTTCAAAAATAATTTGACTGACTGGAAGGTGTTTTCTTTTTAAAATTACTAAACATTACTGCTTTAAGCATCATTTTTAGTCATCTGTTATCAAAATATAATTCTCTTTATTAAAAAAAAATCTTTCAAAAATAAAATATACTTTCCTGAAACTTTATTTTAAGAATATTAGCTGATTTAAAATAAATATTGCTTACTTTTAGCTTAAGATATTGCAGAAATACATTTTTTAATAGTTTTTTTTATTTAATGATGATTCTACAGTGGACATACTGTAAAAATTACTTGAGGAATATAATGGGAGTACTTTTCTTATATAATTTTTAACTACCCAGTAATCTTTAAAATTTAGGAAAGTATTCTCCATAATCAAATGGATTATTGAATTTTAGGTACTTTGGTTTTAAATTTACTATAGTTATTGCTTTTCTTTTCTGATAATGTGTAAGGGCACTGTATGGACATTTGTATTTATAAAAATCAGCACATTTACACACAATAGTTAAAGCAATACTGTTTTGCAATTAGAATATATGGAAGGAATGTTAATACATTTATTATCTTGATTACCTCTCAGTTAATGAGTTTGTTCATTGGTGATAGTTTGTATGTACAAAAATAGATGTTTTCCTGTAATTTCTGATCTTCCATAATTCAAGAAGGATATGTAAATTAAATTATTGAAATACTAATAATTCTAGCTATGAAACAGACAAGAACCAACCCAAGAGAGTTATTGAAGTAATTTATTATATTGATGAATAGAAACAGGGTCAAGGAATCTAGAAAGCTCAAAAATCATGACATGACGTTAGCAGAGGAACAAAAATATTAAAACAAATACATTAGGAAAATCAACAGCTTACCTTCAGGTCTAAAAACATGTGTCACTGGTGTCATTAAAGGTACATCAACATCATTACCAACTTCTTTTTCTTTATCTATTTCCATAGGTACCTCCTCCCTCTCACGTGAAGCAGCTACTTTCCTTCCTCGTTTGTGAGTTACAGGAGCCATTTTTCACTTAAGTAAAAGAAACACAAGAATTAAGGTTTTTAAAAAGATACACATGTAGCAAAAATTAAAAACCAATGAAAGAAAAAAAAAAAATGAGAAAAAGAAACTTTCAATAGCAAAAAAAATGTTTATCCTAAAATAAAGCAAGCCAGCCATATATAATGGTTTATTAAAAAAAAAAAACTGAATAATAAAATCATCAATGTTTAACTTTAGACATTCAACTTTGACATTTTTACTGTATGCTCAAGTTTAGAATGCATCAATTTAAATTAGGTACCTCCACGAAAACAAAAAATCTGCATACCATGACGAAAACATGCTTCAAAACATAGTTTTATTGTCAAAATCTTGTTAAGAAGGACCAAAGTATTTTTTGATTATTTGATATTTTTACTCCTTTCTAGAACATTAGAAATTTTAATTAAAAAACTTGTTTTCCTTGCATCAGCAATTGTACTAACTTTCAACAAAACAAATTTTAGCCTCTTTTTTTTTTTTTGAGTTGACAGACTCATAATTTGTAAATTCGTGTAAAAATCAAATAATTGTTGAATTTTAATGAAATTTTCAAGACATATTCATAAATGAATGAAATTATCTTTGAAATTTTTTTATTACAAAATTTTGGCAAAAATTTTTTTATGTGTTTCAGCACCTTAATTTTATGAAAACTTGGGAAATTCAATGTGATGATTTTAGTGACTATATTAGTTAAAAATAAAATTCTTTGAATTTTAATCACCAAATTTTTTTTGCAAAATTAGAAAATCTGTTCTGAATCAAAAAATAAATAATGCCATAAGACTAAGATATTATTTAATTAGAAAGTTTTTAATTGTTTTTATGAATAATTTATATATTAAAGACAATATTATCAGAAGAAAAAGATCTTTTCAATGAAAAACAAATTTTTACAAAATTTGTTTTAATTTTTTTGAAATTTTAAATTGAATAATTTATAAAGTTTTTATATCCTTTAAAATTCATTTTCAATATAATTCTTATGAAATATTGTCATTAAGTAAAACAATATAAAATCTTATTACAATCTGACACTGAATATTTTTAAAAGAATTTCAATTTGTTTTTGCATGTGATTACGTGCAGAATTTCTGAAGTATGGATGTACAAACTGATAAATCTATTATAAAAGGTCACATGTTTTAAGGTAGGTACTTTCACTTTTTCATGGGAAAGCAGTATAGCGTAATGAAAAAGGCCACAAACTTAATAAAAATAAAATATCATTGTCAAAATATTTATGCTATTATTAAGATGAAAGACCAAAGTATTTTTTCATTTCTATTTGAAATTTTTTAATCCTTTCTAACACATTCAAAATTGTGGTTAAAAATCTTGTTTTGTTTATGTCATTGGGGTGGTGTAATAATTACACATACATTTTTTTGAGCATTTTTCTGTTGAAAACACATTGATTTAGAAATTCTTGTAAAAATCAAATTGTCAGATTTTAATGAAACTTTCAGGACTTATTCACAAATGAATAAAATTATTTTTGAAATTTTTTGTTTTAGAAAATTTTGGCAAAAATATTTATATATATATATATATATATATATATATATATATATATATTTATATTTATTTCCCAACTTATTTTCATGAAATTTCATGAAAGACCTTGCTATTTCCTGAATTTTTTTTTCATTAGTTATAATTTGGACTCCTTGGAGAATGTAAATCACCTATTTTTTTTTTTTTTTTTTTTGAACTTTTACTATTCTAACTGAAAATCTGCTGTGAATTGTAAAATAAATGCAATAAAACTATAAAATTATTTAATAAAATCTTTTAATTGCTTTTGTAAATATGTTAAGGAGATTATTGTCTGAATAAATAAAATTTTTTCAATGAATAATGAATTTTTACAAGAAAACCGAGAATTAACTTTTGTTTACAAATGTATAAAAAATGGCTGATTTTATCAATTTTACTGAAAAAAAAAAAAAAAAAAAAAAAAAAGATTCCAACTGATATAATTTCAGCTTTAAAATACACCACAGAGGATTTTGCTTAGCAGAAAAAGTAAATTTGAAATCTTTTAGCTTTCACTTAAAACTAAAACGAAAACTTTTTTATTTTTTTAAAATTTATTTTAAACCTTACATATACGTACCAAATTTGTGGAGATACCTAACTTAAATTAGGTGCCTCCAATAATTTGCTAAAAAAATCAGTATAGCATAATGATAAAAGGTCCGAAACTTAAAAAAAAAAACAAAGTTTCATCATTAAAATGTTTATGTTATTATTAAGAGGAAAGAACAAAGTATTTTTAAAATATTTTTTAAAATGTTTTCCTTCTTTCTAACACGTTCTAAATTTGGGTAAAAAATCTTTTTTTTTTTTGTTAACTTGGTAAGACTTGTGGTCATCGCCATTTTTTAGTGTAGCAGTTTTTTTTTGGGGGGCATTAATTTGGAAATTCTTGCAAAAATCAAATAATTATCTAATTTAAATGAAACTTTCAGGACTTATTAAAAAAAATGAATGAATTCATTTTCGAAATTTTTATTTTTTTAGAAAATCTTTGTAAAAGTATTTTTTCTTTTTTTTTCTTTTTTACATGTCCCCCCCCCCATAAATTAATTTTAAGAAATTTTGTAGAATTTCAAAGAGTTTGCAAATTGTTTTATATTACTTATAAGCAGGACTCCTTGAAGAAATTAAATCAATTTTTTTTTTTCACAACTTTAAAAATCTTCTCCAAATCGTAAAATAACTACAATAAACTATCTAATTAGGCTTTTATAAATAATAAGGATGTTATTATCTGAAGAAAAAGATTTTTTTTGATGAATAAAGAATTTTTACAAGAATTAAAGCTTAATAAAAATAATGCTACCAAAACTTTTTACCATAATTAAAAATATATATTTTTTGTGCGTCAAAATGTTATATTTTTTTTAGTATGATATCTCAGAAGTGACATTATGGTTAAAAGGTCACGTGTTTCAAAGCTTGTCTCCTTGGGGAAAGCCCCTTCTTAACATGTAATGGTCTTCTCACTCTCAGTTATTAAATTAAAAATTGAGTTAATAAAAATATCTCATCAATTTAAAGTAAACAATTAATAACTCAGTGAGATATTTTAATTATTTTAAATTGAAATGAAGCCGGAAAAAAAGAAACAAACAAAAACATTAAAGTTTTTCTTTGATATATCATTTATTCTAAAACTAGCAGTAGAGCCCGGCGTTGCCCGGGGATGTAACAGTAAGCGATAGATCTAGTATCGACCATCATAAAGACTGAAAAATAAAATTGACAAAGATTATTGTTTAAGGTTGATGGACATGCATGTCTTAATTAGTTTTTTTTTGTTTTTTTTTTTTTACGAATTGGTCAAACCCAAACTCAAACAAAAACATTGTTTTCAATCATTATGAGTCTACCAATTGAATAGAATTTTATTATAAACAATTGTCTTGTAAATGGAATTTTTAAAGTATTCTGAATGTAAAAATAAACAAAAAAGTGTGCAAGACAATAAGAAACACTACCTGCCAAAAAAAAAAAAAAAAAAAAAAAAAGTGAAGTTTTGCTGAAATCGGTTGAAAAATGTAGGAAATCCGATCCCATATATAAACGAACACACACAAACAAACAACCAACCTGGGTTTTATAATAAGTATAATTCGATATTAATAAGTATAACTCGATATGAGTTGTCCCCCTTTCATTAATGCCTCTTAATCGCGTTTTCAAATTGATTTCATGCAAAAACAATTGTGTTTTTCCAATTTTTGGCGCTGTCAGAACCACCGCAATGTAATTTTACGTAGTCCTGTGAAGTTTTGTTGAAATCGGTTGAAAAATGTAGGAAATCCGATCCAATATATAAACGTAAAGACACACACACACACTCTGCGTTTTATAAGTAAGATAAGATTTAGAATCTAAATCATAAATTCTATAATACAGAAAACTAAAAAAAAAAAAACATGCGAGGTGACTGGACATTTCAGGTCTTGTTCTTAAAACAATCCATCAGTTCCAAGCATATTGAGTTTTTATTTCTAATGCAAAATTTGTTTATTTTAATTGTATTTTTTCTTTTTGTATTTATTTTAATTCATTACATCGGAGTAATTAATTTTAAAACATTGCCTGGTTTATTAAAATTTTAAATCACAAATTTACACTTCTAACGCGAGAAATCAACATGGAACATCAATGCGCAGAAAACAGACTAAAAAATTTTAAAATACGGACTTCAAACCATAAAATTAAAATAAAGGTTGTAAAATAAGCTAAAAAAGCTAAATAAATAGCAATATTCAACCACATATTATTTTTCATTTCAATATTCGACCACAAAAAAGTTGGGTTTTTTTTTTAAATTTTATTTCAACACTGGTTTTAGTTTACCCATACTGTCAAACGAAACTAAAGTGAAGGCCATTTCCTGGAATGGGAAAGCATACAAAATAATTTGAGATTTTTTAATTGATTTTTAAGTGAGTCTTTCAATTTATTTTTTCAATTATTAATGTTGTGCTCTATGTTTTTTTTTTTTGTTTTTTTTTTTTTTATTAAGAAGCTTCTCTCCAATTTCACAAATTAAAATTTAAAAACATTTAAAATTTAGTTTATTTGCTGCTTAATTGAGTAAACTAAGTTTTTTTCAAAATTGAGGATGAAGAAGCTTGTAGAATTGGCTACAAGTGTTTGCGGATGAGAAACAGAAGAAACCTATTGCGAGCGTTTATTGATAAAACAAGTTCTTTTTTTTTTACAATTTTTTTTTTCTTTTCTCTACAACTTATTTTGGCAAATTGCACACAAAATGCGAACTCTTTTTAGAAGTATATGATTCTCTCTTTCACTACATAGTTACAAAAGAAAAAAAAACTACTAAAACGTGTAAAATTTGAATTTGCGTGCATCGGGATGCACAACTAAAATACCGCCTTGACTTTACATCGGAAAAAAAGATACAGTTATAAAAATAAAATTCAGAATGTAACTTAAAATTCTAAATAAAAAATATTATCTTTTTTAAAACTACGTACACAAAGAAATACAATTTGTTTTATAACCCAGTGTCACAATATGTAGTTTCTGCCACTCAATTAAACGGGGGAAAATAACTTCACAAAAACTTTTCTCGTGAAAAAAAAAAAAAAATCACAATTAAAGTTATAACAGTTTTTAAAACTCATCACATCAACAAATCAATCTTGAGAGTCGAAAGTTGTAAAACAAAAAAATTAACTGTGATTTTTCATTTACAATTAATTTTAATATGGCGAAATAATTTGCACAACTTTAAAAAACAATATGGACTGATATAAAATTTCATGTTTAAATGCTGTTTTTTCTTCAAAAATATTAAAAAGACAAAAAAAATGACCGCTCGTTGCGCTTAAAGTTGTCAATGTTCATTTTTAATGCTAAAATAAATGTGATATAAAACGATCAAGATTCTTATACGTAAAACTGGAACATTTTTTAATATTTTAAGAAACTTAAAACGAATTATAAAAAAGCTTTACTCGTATAGAAAGTTAATACAAATTGCTCAAAGAATTTACCTGTTCTAGTTCAACAACAAACGATCAACTTCATAATCCCGCCATTTAAACAATGTTCGTTGATTCCTGGTTGGTCAAAACAAAATCATATTCTGCGCATGTGCATCGATAATGATACTTCCTTTTTCTAATGCATGGCGCCATATTATCAGAAAAAAAAACATAGGATGTTATTGTTGATGATGCTTGTTGACAAACATCAATTACTTCGTTATTTAGCCCTTTCCATCCATTCTACAGTGCTTTTTCGTTCTACAAATAATAAATTTAAAAATAAAAAAGAATAGTAATCGCAACTTGGTACATTTTTACAACAATGCTTTCAAAATTTTTACGTTTTCTCGTCGTGAGACAAAATCTAATCACATGATAAATACTTCCGTCGAATGAAAAAAAATAATTTCAAAAATTTATTAATTTACAATTTCAAATAAAATTCATACCAAGATAAATTGATTGAATAATTTTATAATTATTTTTATTTCAATTATTTACCTTCTCGAAGCAGCAATTGAAAACAATCGTAATTGTCTTGTATTATTACGTAACCAATAACATAAAAGAAAATAAACATTTTTCCTTCGTTGACCATCTCTGAGCAAGAGAAATGAATATAAACTTTATTACAGGAACAATACGTTTTTCATGCAGGTTCATTTTCTTTTTTTTTTTTTTACCATAACTAAAAATTCTCAATTCTGTCATCAGTGCTTTTTTTTTTGGCAATAAAAAAAAACGAAACCACTCAGCCCAATTTTTCTCAAAATTCATTTTTATTTTTGATAACTTCTTTAACGTAAAATCATTTTATTACATTTAATTGTAATTTTATTATTTTTATTTTGTTTACTTTTTATTTACATTTTTTGTATTTCATTATTTCTTAAAGTTTCATGAAATAATGAAATTGAAATACAAACAAAAATATTTTTAACTTGATGATATAAGTTAAAAATAAAATGAATTTTTTATTCCAGTTATGTACGTAATATTTCAAGTCAAATGTAAAGTATGATTTTTTTTCTTACTTGTAAAAAAAATGATATCTTCTTTCCTACTGCACCGAAGTAATTTTTGCTAACTGTTAAAAATAAAAACACATCATTCAACAAAAAAAATCAATAAACTAAATGCAAATGCCACCGGATTACAATTAATCATTAAATGAAAAAAAAAATATATACTTTTTTAAGTAAAAAGTGTTGAGTGCAGAAGACTGATCTGTTAAACAATTTTACAGTGACAATGTATAATAAATTTAATGCATAAAGAAAGAAAGTATGTATTTGCTATATTTTATTTGAACTACAACTTAATGTGTAGTTCAATTGTATTCATTAACTCCTGTAATTTTAACTTTTTACACCAATTAACCAAGTTTATCTTTTTTTATTTCTTTCACATTTTGTGTGTGGTACAAATATAATTTATAAACAAAAAGTACATGGAAATCTTGTCAACATTTTATTCAAGAATTCAATTTGTCTGGTGATAACAAAAGTTCTACTGATGGTTGTTTTTATCTTTGGGTGAAGTTCAAGGCTAGTTCCTAGACGCTTCATTCAATTCAAGGAAGTAAAAAAAATTCACATGGTTGGATTAAAGCTCTATTTTTAGTTCAACTAGTGGTCTCCATTGATACATATTGTAAACTAAACAACTTCAGACATCCCTAAAAAGAGTATTGTTGCTTTGCTTTGATTGGAAAAGTAAAACAACATCACTAGTTCAGAAATTGTGGGGCCATTATAGGAATTGATGTGATTAGAAATTGGGAAGGAAGGGGATTATACTATCCAGGTTTTTGTTTTTGTCTCAGTGTTGGGATTCTAAACATAACACATCTTTTAAATGAAAGATAAAAAAAGGTTATTTTCTGGAGGAAAAGTAGAAGCAGAATATCAGTTAAAAAAATAACAATGATTTATTCTTTTCAGAAACATATAATAACAATAAAATGTTAAATTTACCATGTAGTGAAATTTGTTTTAAAGTAATTTAATTTAAGTGTTCTTAGTGTGTGTAATGTGTGGACAGACTTACTTTATGACGGTCAGTCTAGAATGTGTTTGTGAGTTTGTAAACAAAGTCAGCAATTGCTAGCTCATCTTTTCCACTGTGTGCATGTGTGTGGGTGCATGTGTATGCATATAGATCAAAGAAGCCTCCAAAATTAGTTTGAACCTCCTGAGAATGCACTATGCTTCTATTTTTATATCTGTCGATATTTCTGAGATGAAGCATTGCAGTTATTTTTACTATTTACATTGTTTGGACTGTTGTTCTCATCTTTATTGCCAGCTGTTATACTCCGGCCTTCTGTACACTACAGGTGACTGGAATTTCAAACTGAACCCTTTATTTCGTTCACTTGTGAAGATTGTTCTCTAGTTCCACGTGCCATGCCGCTTTTTATTTTATATGCATACGAGAGATCCAAAATCTAATTTCACATAGAGGTGTGAACTTTTTTAATACAAAGTTTTCATTAGTTAGAAAATAATTTCACACTGGCTCATGAACATCTTTTTCTCAAATTTGCAGGAGGGGTGAAGAGAGTTATTATTGTTATTTTCTAAATGGTCCAAAAATAACACATGGTAGGTTTAAACTATGTCCACAAGTATTTTGGTATTATTTTCCCTAGTAATTATTGTTTATCAAATGAAACTTCTGATGGGATTTTATTGGTAGAAAAATATATATAGAATTTAATTCCTCTAATACAAGATCACATTATTTGGTACATCATGGCTGCCATTTTGATAACAGATATTTTAGATCCATATGCAAAGTAATTTTTATATTGAGATCCAGAAAAAAAGTATTTTACTTTTTTTATATATTGATAATTTCTACAATACATCTCTGCCAAATAGCAGAGCTTTACACAGGAAGATTATTATGTAAAATAATAATAATAATAATAATAATAATTGTAATTCTTAGTGAAAAACACAACCTGTCTTCTTAAGGATGAGTTGGGGTATCTATGAATGTAAGTCATATGAATCCTCATTGAATTATCAGCCTCAGTAGATACAGCATGTTTCACAAATTTTGAAACAAAATGATCAGACACAAATCAAGGACCACAAATGTTAGGGTAATGGAAATTACATTTATTGAAAGATAAAATGATAACATTTTAGGATCTACAACTATTTAGTCTCAAACATGAACAAAAAATGTCAAGAGGAGCTCTAGAGTACATGCTCTAGATGTCCGTCATTCAGTTGAAGGCATTGTTGAATGCAAAGTTGTTGGTAATGTGTGCACATTCCTTCTGGGTGATCACTTGAATCTTCTCAGTGATGGCTACCTTCAATGTTCCCTGGTAGATGTTGTCCTTGAGAAAACCCCAGAGGAAGAAATCTAGAGGGATTCAAGACAGACGAGTGATGTGCCCATTCCACTTTAGCTTTGCAGCTAATGAGACACTCCCCAAACTTTTCATAAAGCCATGATATGGTAACATTAGCAGTGTGAGGAGGAACACCATTCTAGAACCACTGTTACTCTTTATCAAGGTCCTCACACTCTTCAAGTTCTCCCCATCTGAGAGACCACTGTTTTGTTTCAACAATTGTGAAACACCCTGTATATCCTTAGAGGTAGTGTCACTGTTAATAGATGATGTTTGCTTTGACAGTAAATCAGCTACAAGCACTCTTGTCCGTGTCACAGGCTTCAATCTATACAACAATATTTTGTTTGTTGCTAGAATGCAGTTCAATAGTGAAGTATTTTTATTTTCATGCAATAAGGAGCACTTTATTCTGTTGAATCTTAGCTCAACACATTTAAAACATTTCTAGGTCTTGGAGAGTGAAAGGTTTTAGAATACTGTAAATATGTCCTTCAAAGAAAAGCTCAGTGTCTAGTTTCAGCATCTGTAATAAAGGATGAATTTTTTCACTGGTGAAATCTATAGATTATCAACCTTGGGTCTGAGTAGTAAAGCAAGTGAATGAAGTAACAGCAAGTGCTGGTGAGTAACCCTATTCCTTTAGTAGTTTGTGGATACCAAGAATTGCTGTTGGCAAGGCATCTTGCCATTATGATATTCTTGATGATTATTTGTTGCTTAACGGTGAGTCCATTAGATTGTGGATGTTGTTTCAAGTCTATTAAAACCTATCAAAAATCTTTCTGTTGGTGATGAGAATATGAGAAATCCATATACTTAGGAAAGACACAACAGTTATTGCAGCTCAAGTTGCTTCAATCCATCTAGTGGCTCTGTCAATACATATTTGGATGTCTTTCACTGGTGAAGAATATATACTATTTTGAGTAGAGGTTAGTGAACTAATTATAACCAACTAGATAGCAGGAAGGATGGGGTTAGGTTTGATTTAGTATGGCAATTTGCTTTACTAACTGTAACCCTTTTGCTTTGCTGCCACCAATTATGAATTAATTTTTCTTCACAATACAAAAAAAAGTCAGTTACTTCCTTCATATACTTATATTGTAAATAGCTCAGATGTCAATGAGATGATATATTAGTTTGTCCTGGGTATGACAATAAACTACATCCAGCAACTAGGCCACTGATCGGAAGGTTTTGAGGAGCTGGGAGCCGCCTCTTAATTGCTGTTGTTCTCAGGTCCACCCTGACCTGGAATGGTAGCGCCTGTTAGGGTCCCAGCTATGGGCAAATAGTTAACCCCCCCTCCACACACACACACCAAACTGTGGTCAAAACACTATGAAAATATAAAAATACATTTTTATAGTAAAAATACTAGCAATACATTTTCATAATAAAAAATGTATTGATCGTAATATTTTCTTTTTTAAAAAATGTATTGATCGTAATATTTTCTTTTTTACAAAAATGTATTGCTGGATTACTAGCAATACATTTTTGTAAAAAAAAATATTACCAGCAATATATTTTTCTAAAAAACAATTAATAATAATACATTTTTGAAAAATGAAAAAAATTACCAGCAATATATTTTTGTAAAATAAATTACTAATGTTCCCAAGAAAATTAAAATTTGGCATTAAATAAGTTGATATGCTGCTAAACAAACAACCAAACAAATATGTATTATTTAAATCACTTCTAAACTCATCTATTTTTTTGAAAACCAGATATCCATTTGTTGATAGCCCAGAATTTTGTCCATAAATTTTCCATAAAAGAAGTACAGATTTTGTATGAATAGTATTTGAAATAAATATATTTTTGGCCCTTGGATAACTTCAAGTGACAAGGTTGGCATTGTAGTAGTAGGCTAAATTTAATACATAAAATATTTCTTAAATCCCCTGAAAAGTATCACCTACTTATCATCTCCTTAACAATGACTTCCTACTTCAAAAAAAGTGGGGGTTTCACTACTTCTGTCCCTTTGTTTCAAAGTACTGCGAGTAACATACTCTGCCACACAAGAAGGATACAATTTGTATTCATAAAAAAGAAAACATACCTTCTAAAACAATGATTGCTCGGTGTTCATTCATTTTGAATGGAAAAAAAACATTCTGCACCAACCTACATACCATTATCCTGTCCTGCCAACCTATTTAGGCAAAGTAGGAGTAAAGCAGGCAAGGTTAGGAATTTACTTTATGAAG